CTGTTGACTCTTCACCTGGCCTTGTCCTTCTCATCCTTCAGACCTCAGCTTAAATGTCAGGTCTTCCAAGAGGCCCTCCCAGACCATCCTGAATCTAAACTAGCCCCCCCCATGGGGCATCTGGGTGGCTCAGTCGTTAAGCGTCTGCCTTTGGCTCAGGTCATGATCCCAGGGTCCTGGGATCGAGCCCCGAATCGGGCTCCCTGCTCCGCGGGAGGCCTGCTTCTCCCTCTCTCACTCCCCCTGCTTGTGTTCCCTCTCTCGGTGTGTTTCTCTCTGTCAAATAAATAAATAAAATCTTAAAAAAAAAATAAAATAAACTAGGGCCCCTGTTCTTCTTGCCCAGCAAACCATCAGAGCAGTTGTCATATTTAATTACATGTTATGTTTACATGTTTCATGTCCTGTCTTCCCCACAGGAAGGCCAAGCCCAGGCCTATTTATAGTTCCTCCCATTGCATCCCCAGTACATACTAGGTGCTCCCCCAAAAAAAAAAAAAAAAATCTTTATTAAGTGAATGTGGTTGAATTGGAATGGTTTACTCATTTAAAATTATGGCTAGCCTGTCATTGAACTGGAGCAGGGAATAATGACTAGCCGGAAGTATTAAAAACCATGGCAGTGAAACTTCAAAGGGAAAGTTTTATTCGTTGATGAACTGAAATGCGTGCTTCAGCCATATTTTTGTAGGCCTGTTGGCATTAATGATGCCCAGACCCTCCTTTTAGAGTCTTGGGGCCAGCTGACATCTACATCTCCTAACACTAAAAACTTCACCATGTTAACTAGAGTATGACAATTAACAACATGTTTTTAATTAGCCTGTTAGTCATCTTGTATCTGAGGAGGCCGGGGAGTGGAGAGCTAAGGCCAAGTGTTTTAACACATGGCTTTCTAAATACCTCCAAGGAACCACGCTGCTGAGACTTCAGAATCTCTGCAGTCCATCAGGGATGGAAGCCTTGTTCCAGGTCGCTCTCTTCTCTCCTAAAGCCACAGTTAGCCTCTTAGTGCAGAGCAAAGTGGTCACCAAACTGGCCTAATGGTGAAGGTGGCTGAATTTTCTTCTCTGGCAGAAGGCAGGCTTGGGGACACTCGAGGATGTGTGGGTGCATCTTGTGGAAGAATTAACTTTGGCAGCCATCAGGTCAAGCAAAAAGGCTGTGAAATGAGATCACCTTTAACCTTTCCTTAAGATGTTGAGGATTCGTTGACTCTGGGTTTGGTTGCTGTAACAGACCCAGAATAGCAGTGGTGTAAATGAGAGAGCGGGTTGATTTGTCTCTCCTGAAACAGTTTGAGAGTGAGCAGCTCAGGGCTGACGAGGCAGCTCCACGGTGTTGGGGGCCTGCCAGTTTGTTGCTCCCAATTCCTGGGATGTTGCCCTCATCTGCATGGTCCAGAATAACTCCCCACCATCATGCACATTCCAGCCCGTGAGAAGGGAAGATGTGAAAGAGGACAGTGAAATTTCCTGCCTTCTTCTTAAGGCAGGAAAATTTTTTTTTACTTAAAATTCATATAAAACTTACCCTTTTAAGTGTACGATTCAGTGGTTCTTAGTGTATTCACAGGGTTGTGCACTATCATTGTAATCTAATTGCAGAACATTTCTGTGACCCCAAAACGAAACCCAGAACTTATTCACTCCCTCTTTCCCCCTCCTCCCAACCCCTGGCAACCACTAATCTACTTTCTGTCTCTATGGATTTGCCTGTTCTAGACATTTCATGTAAATTGAATAATGCAATATAGGGCCTTTTGTGCCTGGCTTCTTTCACTCAGCATAATGATGGCCAGTACTTAATTTCTTTCTGTGGCTGGACATTCTTTTGTATGGGTGTACCACAGTTTGCTTATCCATTCATCAGTTGATGGACCTTTGGATTATTTCTACTTTTTGGCTATTCTGAATGCAGTGTGAACGTTCATTTACGTACAGATTTTTCTGTGAACATATCTTTCAGTTTTCGTGGATATATGCCTAAGAATAGAATTGATGGGCCATGTTTTAACTATGTTTTAACTTCCTGAAGGATAGGCAGAGGTTCTTAACATTGGTGTGCCATAGACTTTTGGATATCTACTTCTCAAAATCTTGTTTTTGAATTCATAAAACACCTGGGATTACAAAGTAAACCAATTTTGTTGAAATGGTTATTGAGATGTGAAGATAACAAATCTGTGAACTAGTATGGCAAAATCCAGTGATGGGTCTAATAACTACATGATTTCAAAGTACTAAAGGGCATGAATGTTATTTTGAGATGTGTGTAAGAACTAACATGATTTTAAAAAATACCTGTGATATCTATTGGTGACAGATTCACCCTTTGTGAAAACTACTGTGGTTTGCCTGCGTTCATGGTTGAAGGAAATGCTGAATTTCAGTTAAAGGCTAGTGAAAATAGGTCTTTTTCCCCCACTCTAAATTACCGGAGCTCCTGAGTTCTATCACACTTCAAAGGGGTGACCCAGAAGTCACATACACCTTTTCTGCTCCCATCTCATTGGTCTGAATTTAGTCAGGTGACCACAGCATGCTGCAAGGGACGCTGGGAATTGTAGTCTTCATTCAGCTCAGCCATGTTCCTGGCTAAACGTAGGAGTTCAGTCATTAAAGGAAAAGGGAGAATGGGTATTGGGAGACAAGAAGTCAATATGGCACTATACCCCATACAACCAGTTTCTTCCCTGGGTTCAAAACATGTGTTCTTTCTTCTGAGAAGCACCTGCCAAAGGGGTTTGCCCTTTAGAGGCCATGTTGTATGAACAATGTGCTGCTTTTTTTTTTTTTTTAAGATTTTATTTATTTATTTGAAGCAGAGAGAGCTTGCACGAGTGGGGGTGGGGGCAGAAGGAGAGAGAGCAGCAGACTTCCTGCTGAGCAGGGAGCCCCACACAGGGCTCAATCTCAGGACCCTGAGATCATGACTGGAGCCGAAGGCAGATGCCCAACCGACTGAGCCACCCAGGCGCCCCTACAGTATGCTTCTTGAGGATACTAGATGCTACTCAGAGTGGTGATCTGCTCCGTGATGAACTGCGCCTGCCTGAGGGAATAACATATGCTTGACTCTCATCTCACATTCATACCACAGCAAATGCTCATGAAGTGGAATGGTGGACATCTGTGCTATTTAAATTATATGTCCTTTGGGGGGAAGTGGGAGGATTGAGGGGGGTCAGGTGCATTCATTGAGTATGTTGAGGTAAATATCTGATGCAACCACTTTGTACCTTTTTACTGCACAGAAGATGTGTGGTTGGCTTCTCAAATGACTGGATGTTGGTGTTATATTGAAATGCTTGGTTCGAAGTGTCTGAGCTCCTCTTGGATCACCCAAGGAAGATGAGGGACTGATTTATTGTCTCAGAACCCAAGAAGGTCAACAACAAAGAGGGCAGCTTAGGTGTCAGGGGTAGGAAATTGCAAGACGTGTATGGCCCATTGGCAACGTGACCTCCCCATGGTCTTGCTTGTGGGGGTTGAAGAGCAGTGATACCACTCATAATAATGATAACAGCTGGTCTTTATTGATTGCTTACTGTGCGCCTGGCAGTGTGCATGGATGAACTCACTTTACAGCCTCGTGATCTGGATCCTGCCGTGTCCCCATTTTCCTGATGCATGGGGTTAATCGACCCACTCAAGATCATATGTTTGTTTATTTGTGGCAGAGGTGGGATTTGAACCCAGAGGGGCCACTTCTGGCCTGTGCTTTTCATTAACCTTAAGAGGAAGGTGAGGGAGGAAAGTAAAGTGCAGGAGTTAGAAGGCTTGAATTTCTGGACAGAGAAATTTGTGTTCACTTCCATGCTTTTGCTTCCCCGGTATTTATTTTTAACGATGACTTTCAAGTTTCTGTAATTGTGCCATCACAGACCCCCTCCCTCTGTTCTTGCACCCAGTGGTACATCCCCCCTTCCTTCGCACCACCAAGTAAATGCTCACGTTGACTACCGATCCCGTTCTCCCTTGATTCTAGGCCAGCCCTCAGCCTGGTTTCAGGTTTTAAGAGCCAGTATTTAGCTGGCCTAGTTTTAAACATGAATTTTAAAAAAGTTGATTTGTTACTCAGCAAATATTTACAGTGCCCACGAGGTGCCAGATCTGGGCCACCAGACACAGGTATATCATTAAGCACGCCCCTTGCTTTCATGGAATTGATGATCTGGAGGGGACGCAGGGATTCAGACACTCAACAAATAACTTCACCAACATGGATTGCCGCTGTGATCAATACCATACAGGGACAATACAGGGAGCTTGGAGAGCAGATTACCCTGTGGAAGAGAGGGCCCCACCCAGGGGTCCTGGGAGCTGGTGAGGGGGGGCTTCCTGAGGAAGCCCTGAGGCCTAATGGTGGCAAGAGGGCAGCATCTGGGCAGAGGGGAAGCAGACCACCTCCAGGGTGAAGTTGAAAGCCCTAGGTACTGGTCAGAACCCCCCATTCCCACTGGACTCTGAGGATACCACCTGACATCAAGGCTCCCTCACCTGCTAGCAAGTCCGTTTCCTCATCTTTAAGATGGGTGAAACACTGGTCATGGTGCCCACTTCACTGGTGGCCGTGAGGGTTAAATGAGTACTATATGTGAGACCTCTAGAACTCTCTCTGGCGTGGAGCAAGGGCTCTATGGGTATTAGTAAGTAACTAAGCCTTTTATGTTGTGGGACTTAAAACTGCTAGTAGAAAACTGGAATCCAAGTTAGGAAAGGGCTTGACAGGGGCTGCCAGATGGGGGAACCTGGTGTGGGGGTCAAGGGTGCAACCATTGGATACTACACCCCCGGGAGGCATGCAGAGCTGTGCAGGGTGGTTTGGTCTCACAGTGGCCTGGAGGCCAAGAATGCTAAACTTCCTGCAATGCAGAAGATTGGTGTTGTGACAAGGGAATGTTCCACCCAAAGCGCCAGCAGTAGCTCCCCGGGGTGGCATCTGCTAATGTACGTCCTTGGCTTTCCCTCGTGCTCCTGGTCGATTTCCTTCCCCAGGTGGAAAGATGGCTGCTTTTGCAGGTGCGGGCTGCCCCCAGATGCCCTGACCACCACCTCCACCTCCTGAAATGTTCACAAGCTGCCCCTGCCCTGCAGCACTTGGGAGCACTGCTGGCCCTTGGGCAGAGGGGTGAAACCAAGTAAGTAGTCCTGGTTTATCAGTTTGGGTTCTTGGGTTGCAAGCAACAGAAACCAGCTGAACACCTGCAGTAAAAGTGAGACCTGGGTCAAGCAGCTCTGGGGCATCTTGAGGGCCATGTTCAGGGCTCTCCTGGCAGAGGAAGGGGCACTGAGGTGGCAGGAAGGCCCGTGACTGTCGCTGGCCTCCAGGGCGTGATTCCCAGCCTCACCACCACTTTATAAGTTTTCCAGCCTTCCTAGCCTCGGTGTGTCAGCTGTAAGACAGGGATAGATAGGAGGGTTGCTGCAGGAGCCGGCAAGCTGAAACTTGGGACCTTTAAAACAGTGCCTAGTACAGAACATGTGACTAGATAAGTATTAGCCACTACTTTTATTGCTATTACCATTATTGGGTTATTTGTGTCATTATTATATTATTAGCATTAGCACTGTTTTTATGGGCAGCTTGGAATTCAAATTCCTGAGGAAGAGAAGCTGGTTGGCCCAGCTTGGATCACATGGCTGGGTGGGGCCTGTGATTGGCCAGGCCTCCTCCAGCCCCCTCAGCTAGGAGGCACTGGGGAGGACCAGTAGTCCCCAGAAAAAGTGGGCAGCTATCACGAGAAGTTAGGGCAGAGACACCAGTCAGGCAACTCCACATGTCCTCCGTGCTCAGTCATTTGACCTAATAAATTGACCTAATAAATATCGGTTATTTGCCTGCTTTGCAAGAGGAGACCGAGAAATGCAAGGTATCTTCCTGACCGGTCTCAAAGTTGAGAGGGAAACAGCTGGAGAATGAGGATCCTGGTTAAGACCAAGTGCCTGAAACAATGCTTCGCCTTTAGGATGTCGGTAAATATTTCTTGAATGAGTCAACACACAGGGAGATGCAAGAGGTTTATGGGAGCACACAACCAAAGCCGCTACTCTCTGGTCCCACCAGTGATTGCGGAAGAAGCTCGTGGTTGCATCTGCAGCCTCTAGGTGAGGTGCAGAGGGCCGTATGCCTGCATCTGCCTGCACACAGTAGGTGTTTAATAAGTGGCCGCCTTATGATCTCCTGGGTGCATAGCCCTGCAGTTTGCCGTGTGTGACAGTCAGGGGCAGACCCAGAGGTGGGGAGCTGGCTGCCTTCTCCATGGAACAGGATGTGCAGACGTGGCTCCAGGACACATCTCTGTGGAATGCGGTTGCTAATACAAATGAGCTTCCTCACGTCACAAGGCATCTATTATGTGAACAGTTGGATGACTCGCTGTGGGACTGGGCGGGCTCTCGGGGAAATTCATAGCCACAGTCATGCTTCAGGCTTCCCTTCGGAGAAGGCCTTTTCTCCACAAAAGACTCTCTTTTTTTATTTTTTATTTTTTTTGAGAGAGAGAATGAGAGAGAGAGAGCATAAGAGGGGGGAGGGTCAGAGGGAGAAGCAGACTCCCCGCCGAGCAGGGAGCCCGACGCGGGACTCGATCCCGGGACTCCAGGATCATGACCTGAGCTGAAGGCAGTTGCTTAACCAACTGAGCCACCCAGGCGCCCCCCCCACAAAAGACTCTTAATAAGGAAGATAATAATAGCCCTCACTTGCCAGGTGCCTGACACCGTGCAAAAGGATTAACCCACGGAATCCTCACAACATTCCATGAGGCCCGTATTAACATTAGCCCCGTGGTGCGGAGGCTCAGGGAGGAAAAATAACTTGCCTTTTGGGTTCCCAGCAAGTGAGGAAGAGAGCTGAGATTCTGGCCATGGTCTCTCACTCCAGAGCTTAGGCTCTTCACCCCATACACAGTCTCATTTCTCTCTGTAGTACTGACTTTAAAACAGTCTTTTATTCATTTGCACATGTACACCTGCTATATGAATGATTGTCATACTCTTGATCCACACCAAGGGCAGCGGACTACATACAGCCCATGGGCCATATTTGGCCCACTGCCTGTCTTTATATCACCCGGGCTTTACCTTTTTACATTTTAACGGTTGAGAAAAAAATCAAAAGAACCTCTCACGACAGGAGAAATGACATGACCTTTGGGTCGCACATCCACAAATAAAGTTAGGAGCACAGCCGTGCTCACCCAGTTAGGTGTTGTCTGTGGCTGTGTCCACGCTGTCTGAGCAGAGTTGAGTCGTTGCAACAGAGACCATAGAGCCCCCAAACTGAAAAGTATTTAAATAGTACATGGCCCTTTGCAGAAAAGGTTTGCCGATCCTTGCACGACACAGTTTCCTTCAACAGCGTGTCTTAGAGCACTTTTCTTGCAAGGTGGCTGTGCTCCCTTCCTCCTTACCCATTTATTTCATGGAAAACAGCCGGGCCGCAAGCTGTGGGCCGGGCCCAGGTGTGTGGCTGGAGGTGGGCCGGTTCGTGCCTCCGCGCACGCTCACTCGAAGCGTTTCTTGGGCACCAGCTGCGTGGCAGGCCCCCGGCTGGCAGCCACAGCAGGTCTAGGCCTGCCCTCAGGAACCCACAGCCTGCCGGGGGAGTCCGTCATTATCAGGCAGTCCCACCCAAGAACGTATTCGGGTGCCTTCTCTCACCCTCTGCCCATTACTCCTGCTTTGTTTTTATTTGTGACCCTTTTAACAAAATTAGGTCATGCATTTATATGCTTGAAAAGTCAATTTGTGTGTGTGTATGTAGACATACACCTGACAGGTCTTTCTCTGCTACTCCCTTTCCTGCCTACCTTGTTCCTCCACCCCTTAAGCAACCATTTGTATTAGTTTTTTACATACCCTTTTGAAGTTTTCTTAAGCAAATATGTATATCTGTTTTTATCTTCCCTTCCTTATGCAAAATGTAGCATACACCCTATCCTACACTTCGCTTTTTTTTTTTTTTTGTAATCTCTTTATCCAGCCCAGCGGTTGAACACTGAAGGATGGGTAGGAGTTAATTAGGAGAAAGAGAAAGGTGTGTATTAAGGAAGAGCATTGCAGGCAGAGAAAATAACCTGAACAGCATGTATGGAGGTCCCGGGGAGCTTGGCTCCCTTCAGGGTCGAGGGAAGGCCTGCGAGGCTAAAGTAAAAGGAGGAGGGGCCTGTTCTGGCTGCCAGGGCCTGAAGGCCAAGGGAGGGACCATGGCCTTGATTCTAGGAGCACCTGGGTGTGGAGTTCTGCTCTGTTTCCTTCCATGCCCTGCTTTTCTCTGTGGCCAAGTACATGTGGCCTTTATCACGTGTGGCGAAGGAGAGGCCAAGAATGTCCTTGAGAGCAGGTTATTGACTGTGGTTAATAATGAAAGAAAATTTCTCTTTTGAGCTCTTCCCAGGAGGTGTGATCTAGTGTCTAGGGGTTTGCAGGCCGATACCTCCAGCCTCCACGGTCCTTACCAACCATGTGACACAGGGCAAGTCCATCACCGCTCTTCTTTTCAATTTACACAGTCACGGTGCCAGCTACAGGGGTTTTTGGTTTTTTATTTTTTTTGCTACAGGGGTTTTTGGAGGCGAACACACACACTGTGCTCAGTTCCAAGGTAGCCACACAGTAAAGCGCTCAGCCTGTGGCGGTGATGGCTTCCATTTATTTTCACGGGCCTGGCTCAGGCTCATTCTTTGTTAGCATAGCTCACAGTGAAGACTTCTGATTCGGGAGCCTCATCACCTGGGCCTGATCACCTCTCTGCCAGTTACTGTCTCCACTGGGCAAGTAACTTATCCCCTGTGTCCTTGACTTTTTCCATCTATAAGTGGAAATAATAATATACCTGCCTCTTGGTCCGGTGCTGAGGAGGAAATGAGTTAACATTTGTGTTGCACTTAAAATAGCGTGGCAAGTGGTGACATCAGTGGCTGGCGGCTATTATTGGTACTGTTATTGCACACTCTGCTTTCCCTCAGGAGGTCTCCGCATTACTCTCTGGGGACCTCGATGGCGCGATGGCAGTGCCACTGTCATTCAGGGGAAAAGTGCCCTTTGTTACCGGGAACGCTTCACCTTTTCCAAAAAAACACCTTCCTACACGTACCTGGAGCGGAGGATTGCCTGTTTAGTCAGGAATGGTAATTCCACTAGGCTCCCCTTTATATGTCATTGGCCATATAAAGCCACGTGACTGCTCTTAGCTGCAAGGAAGGCTGGGAAATCTAGAATTTTCCTAATTGTCTCTCTAGTAGAAGAGAAATACATAGTCACAGGGGTGCCCGGTAAATATTTGCAAACGCATGAATCTATTTACCAGTCTATCCTAATCACTCATCCCAGCTTGCACGTGTCCACGTTGGGGTCGATTTGCAGAAAGTGACCCCTGGAATGTGGCAGAACTACTGGCCTCCAACCTGAGGTACTGGAAGAAAGCTTGTGAGGGACACAGTTCTAAAGCCTCTTGAGTTGCATCTGTCTAATAAGGGAAACAATTATAGCTCTTAGATCAAAGTCGAGAGGCAGGCTCTGGGAAGAGGGCCTAGAGCAGCCAGAGAAAGGCTGCAGAACCGGTTTTTTTCTAGGCAGGTCTTATTTACCTACTGGTCTGATTGCCTAGAGGACAATCCCCTTGGCCCCTAGAGGCCTTCCAGGTCACCTCCTCCCTTGGGGTGGGCCTCTCTCTGTAGATGGCTGGGCCCCCTTGGGCCAGGGAGTGCCTACTGTGTGTTGGAGTACTGTCCAGGGTGCTGGAGATAATAATAGGTAATATTTATTGTGTGTTCACTGGGTGCCAGGCATTGCAGGTGCTTGGGTTAACTCATTTAACCCTCTCAGCAGCCCCAAGAGATGGGTCTGTGTCAGGCCCATTACAGATGTGTGAAAAATCAAGTCTTAATTAAAAAGAAACAAACCCTGATTTTTCATAATGTTCAGTTTTTTAAATTATGGATAGCTGGTATCTCAGAATAACATGAACCTTTTCATTGATGGCTTATTTTGGTACCCTGATTTTTTTTTAATAGACTTTACCTTTTTTTTTTTTTTAAAGATTTTATTTATTTATTTGACAGAGAGAGACAGCGAGAGAGGGAACAGAAGCAGGGGGAGTGGGAAAGGGAGAAGCAGGCTTCCCGTGGAGCAGGGA